CCATTTATTGTGATAACAAATCTGCAGTATACTATGCTAACAATCACAGAAATTCCAGTCGTACAAAGCATTTTGATATCAAACTTATGTTTTTGAAAGAGAAAATTGCTGAGTCTCAAACCCGTGTAGTACACATTCCTGGCACGCAGATGCTTGCAGATCCGCTGACTAAGGGCTTACCTGTAGAAGTTTTTCAAAATCATGTAACTTGTATGGGTATTGTGAATTCCTTTAATGCCCTAGTTTAGTGGGAGTTTGAAAACTTTTTATGTTGCAATTTCTCTTTAGGCTTTGTTTTCTTCTATGAGTTATGTTCAGTTCAATTAGATGCGTCTATATCATTTGTATCCCTATAGGATCCAATGATTCTGTTGTGGTACGCTATGCATGTCACTTGTTTCCCCATAGGAATCAGTGATTTATGTTGTTATCTTACTGAACTGTGTTTGAAATAAAATTTCATATTTTACTCAGATTATAAGATATCATAATCACTTGTTTCCCCATAGGATTCAGTGATTTTGTGGAGTTTCATTTTCTGAATTTTGTTTGTGGCTTGTTTATACAACTTGCTTAATTAATGCAATCCAATTAGGAGATTGTTGGAATATTATTTATGAATTAGCATTAATTAATAAGCCCAATAAATTGGTCCTTATGATCTTGTGTGGACCATGATAGGTGGACCACACAAGTGAGCCCAATGGACAGAGGCCCAACGCACAACCCAGTAGTCGTCAGTTATTTCCTATCTCTTAACTGACTGAGTCAGAGATAATAGATAAGATAATTATTTAATTATTGAATAAGACAGTTACCGATCTGATCTATATAAGATGATTAGTCGGTAACCGCAAACACACGACTCATTTCTTCTACTTCCATTATCTCTGAACTCTCTGAAGGCTCTGGAGACCTGAGGGTTGTGTGCCTGCCTACACTCGAGGTAATCGAGATTTCTCTAGCACTCATGGATTCTTCAGGTACGCATGAATTAATTTATTTTATCATATTTTATTATACATATGAATTGAGATATATAGATCTAACATAAACTTCATTTAATATACTTAACAACCTTATCTTTTCAAAATAAAAATATAAATTTTTTAAAATACCCATCATTTAATATATTGAAAAGAAAAGTAAAGAAAATGAATCATAGAGAGAGAAGGTAATATCAGAATTGGTGCATTTAGTAAAACTTTAATTTACTCAAATTGTCTTATATTTTGAAATGAAAAAATTCCTTTAAAAGTGCCTTATAATTTAAAACAGAAGGAGTAATTGATTAATGATGCCGATCCACCATACAAGTTTCGTTAATATATATTGAAAAGTAAGCCATACCTAAATCACTTTATCTGGGGCTTAGTATCATAATTCTTATAATTGTGGTTAGATCCGGGTTATTCATTAAAACTAATTTTAAATATTCATATTTAAAATTTTTATCATGCAATTTTTCATAAAAAAAATATTTTATTCTCTAGAGTAACAATAATAAGATTATTTTTATTTTAAACGTTGTACGATTGTACCTATAAAAAACAATAATTTATTAAAAATAAAAAGATAAAATTATATCAAATTTAGACTGTCAAAATCAAATCTAGACAGTCCAATTTGAGGCAAAGTTAAATGTCAATACTAGGTAATTTTAAATGGTCCAAATTTTATCACAATGATATGGTGTTCATTATTGTAATGAGTATTGAAAATCAATATTTAAATTGATTTTGTCGAAGTGTGGGAAATATGCTCATCCAAATATTTGATAGCCTTTTGGGGAAAAAAAAAACTGTTTGATAATCTCATCTTTTAGAAATAATTAGATACATGCGATACAAATCTTTTTAATGAATCAGCATTAATAATGCGACAAGTTTTTTTGAGTTGGCAGATGAGTCAATATTTTAATGTTGAGATTGGGATCTCGTCAAATATTTTACAAGATATAGGATAGTCAAAAATCACAAGACGACTTAAAAAGTTGGTTTTGAATTTCACATTGGACGACAGTGTGTTAAGAGCTTAATTACGGTGGAGCAATCCCTTGCGGGAAACAGTCTGTCAGATTGGGTTTGATCTGATGTCAGAAAATTCAAATTCCAAACCCACCTTACGGTTACTTTTTGGGCCACCAAGACTGCACACTCTCCCCATCAGAAAGAGTAGTCCAAGAAATGGATTTTGGAATTAAAAAAAAAAACACACAAGAAATTAACAACCCATATAGAGTATACTGATATGGCAAGGAATACTAGAGAATCAGTCACATGCATGTTAACTTGAAATAACTCAAAAGGACATGTTCCTCTCCTGGTCATAGTCATAGGCGAAAGCAACAGAAGACGTAGCTGCTTAATTAGCCTTCACAGAAATTGAGCTTTCCCAATTGGACCACTCCGACTGTAGAAATATATTCTTTCTAAAATGATTAGAGCACTCTGCAGTCTGCCCTTTGCATTATGGTCTTCGGGCTTTGACTAAATTGCAAGCAAAGCAATTAGTTGCTCGGCAATCATGGTTTCTGCACGGTGGAACAGCCCCCATCAATCATAACGTGCCACATGGAACTTCATGCAGAAAAAGAATAATAATTCAACCCTCCCTTCCCTTGTGAATGGCGTGGGACACACTCTGCACTATCCAATTAATCTAAGACATAGCGTGGTCAACTCAGCTCATCATCAATCGTTGATTGCTTTTGTTCTGTAAGGATCGGATTCCGTGTGAAGGGATCGTGTCGCTGATCTTCTCTGCTGATAGGCTATGTTCATCCTGCTCTTCAGCTATCCCTTTGGTGCTTCAACCTTGATTGCTTGCCTAAATTTCCAGGTCACTCTAGTTTTTTGCTCGACCAGACCAGAAATGCACTTAAAAAGTCATTTTAAATGTTATGTTCAGTTGAAATTTGCTTTTTTTTTTTTTGTTATAGTATTTATTTATCCCTTTTCTTTACAATTCAACATTTTCAACTCTATCGACATGATTGCCTAAAAATAAACATAATGTCAGCATAGTGCTAATAAAAAAATGTGACGGATCAGTTTTAACGAGGATGGGGAAAATAATTTAGTCACGTAGGCGAATGATTAAAGAACATATCAGGGCGAAGGCGGTCAAAATACTAGTAAAGTTATCCGCGCTGGTATTATTGCTGAAACAACTTCAAAGCGTCTGTTAAACCAAACCCGAGACAGCGTCACCTGAGTGGCTGAGTCAGATAATATTCCTTCCGCATTGCCTTGATCTTGTGATAATGGCAGCGGGGCGCAATGCTTTACATGGGATTCTGCAAGAAGCAAGCGTTTCACATGTGTAAAGAGAACAAACAACGCCTGCATGTTATATCATCATATCATTATTTTAACCCTCCGTGTGTGACAAAACCAAAATTATTAGCAATTTAAATCACAACCTGCCTTATATATACAAAGTTTTTTAAAACTTTTTTTGTCCTTAAATAAAAAAAATTGTTAGTATATTTTTAATAAATGAACCATTATACACTTAACCAAAAGATAAATACTCTTATTAATTTACTTTGAAAAGAAAGATTTATTTTTATTTATAATAATTAAAAAAAAATAAAATATTATTATGCTTTTAATTAAATAACCAATTTTTTTAATTTATATAATTTAATTAAAAATATTTTATATATAGAGATAAAAGGAATAAATCACAACCTACCCATTAATGGTAGTCAATCTAGTTGTTATAATTTATGATTCATATTCCTGAATGTTAACGTCCTGCCTGCTATGAGATGCAACGGGATGTGCGAACAAGAGATTTGACAGGGGAGGCCGTTACTAACTTGCTGATTCCTATCATCTTGGTATTTTCTTCTGCCCTTATATATAAAATAATTTTTAAAAATTTATTTTATTTTTAAATATAAGAATTGATAATGATATTTTTAAGTAAATACATATTTTATTCTTGTTTTAAAAAATAAAATAAATTATTAATTGTATATTTTTTCGTATTACTATTATGATATTAATCATGATATTATTAAAAATAAAATTAAAAAATTATTGTGTTTTTTATATGAATTTAATTAAATAATAAACTTTATTAAAATATAGAATTCGATTAAAAATAAGGACATAGCGAGTAGCCTAACCGCAAGGACGCCAATTCAAAAGGAGAGATAAAGTTCATTCCAGGGGGGCACCCCTACGAATATTCTACACATCCTCTTTTCTCGGACTTCTCTGAGAAATTGCACAGGAAAACTTCAACTGCACAGATTTCGGTATGAGATAAAATTACGGGCAGGAGAGACAATCATGGACTTACTAAATGCAAATCAATCACCAAGATGCGCGTGTGGGGGGGTCTGCCTTTGCACCTTGAAAAGGATAACGATCAAGCCACAAAAATATCCTGTGCCCGGCGCATCATTCACTCACTGAGAGGGATCATTTCTATGATTACTGCCAGATTCATACGAATTCGTAGATCTAGTGCAATGCGATTATGGAATTGATGCACATTTCTTTCTTTCCTCGTCAAATACAAAATTGTGTAATTGTAACGGCAATAATGAGTGCTTGGCTTGTCTCATTAATGTCTTGAACGACATAGAACCGGCCGGCGTGGAAAGAGGGGGACAGGACTTTTAATGAGGCGGAGGGTTCTTTGACCGTTTCTTGGGAGTTATTTTTGCATTGTCCAGATTACAATCAATCACAGCCTCACCTTTGTGCTTATTGCATCAGCAAGGGTGTAATCCTACAACGGGCGAAGCCATTTCTTCACAAAAGGTCAAGCTCACACGCCAGCTTTTGCCCCTTCACTTGATAGCGATTTCCCCGTGACTAATAAACAGTAAGTTCATCGAGAAACTTCTTAATTCCACGGATAATTGGTTGCCAAAGGAAACTTCTAGGAACCGTCCTCAACATGGATTCTTTCAACGGAAATTAATGAAAAACTTCAAATTCCCCTTCCCAATTGCCCCCGTCAAGAAAGTGGAGTTGAAGTTGAAAATTATCCTGTCGTTGATATACATGGTTCTATATACAAGTTACAGTGTGAAGAGAGAACCAGCGTCAAAAGTCAAAACATGCTCTCATTCAATCCGACTTCTGACGAGCTTGCTCGACAAGGTGGCGTATGATTCCCATGTAATTAGGATTTAAAGTTAGTAAACTTTACAATTCGAAGGAAAGCTTAAGTCTTGAGTTTTAGACAAGAGTGTCGCAAAATTTGCCATCCATCCTGTTCTGAACAGCTTTTACAGCAGCAACTCTAGCAGCGGTGGCAGCTCTGTTGGCAGCAGTCATAGCTTCATTCACTTGTTCATCCACCCGGCGAAGGTTTATAGCATTCTCTGCTGTTCTCCTGGCAGCCTTCGATTCAACACAACACATGAGAACATGGAATTATCATTTCTAGAGGGATTACAAGAAATCTAATGTTAAGGGTGATATATGAATGACATATACCTGGACCGCTCCGAGGAGCTTATGGGTTAGTGATGGCAGAGGATGAATGAGGCTGCCAGCATTCCACTCACCACATTTTCTGTCACAATTTCGAAAAGTGTAGATGCCATGACCTTGCCTTCGACCCTCATGCCACGCTCCTTCATAACAATGGCCATTGGCAAAATGGTTACCCCAAATCCATGTATTTTGTCTCCAAAATACTCTCCCGCGTATTATCTCCATTCCTTTATCACAGTCAAAACATTAACCATGATGGATTCGCATGGAGAACAACTCATAATACACTAATCATCAATCAACACGGCTTCAAAAACAGACTCTCCGGTCAATCTTGGAGATATCGGTCAATCATCAGCTTGGCCAACCAAACTTGAAACCCCCTTCAATGCGGAATTAATTTCATTGACAGACACGGACTGAAAAGAATTGGAAAACACGGTACGCCAATGCCACATAATTGCGCAGGAAGTAATTAGTAAATCAACGGAAAAGATAAGAAAAAATGGAAAACAAAGACAGCATTTCAGTTCCCCCATCGATGCAAATTCGGACACACAAGATAGCAGTAACTCACCTAAAATGGTAACATCCGAGACCGTGCTTGACGCCGTACTTGAACTCGCCGATATACCAGCTTCCGTCGGAGCAAGTCTGTACTCCCACACCATGGCTCTGCCCATTACACCATTCCCCTGCATAAGAGTCCCCGGTATAGAACAATAAATCCCATAACCGTGCCTCAAACCCTGTCTATACTGTCCCCTGTAGCGACTACCTCTTGCCCAGGTCTCAATCCCGTACCCATCGTACCTTCCGTCCACCCAGTCACCTCGTATCTCGCGCTGGCGAAGTAATTGTAAACCCCACTTCCGTTGCACTTTCCTTTGTGGAACTCCCCCTCGTAGAAGTCACCGTTGCCGTAAAATTCCACGCCCTCCCTGATAATTTTCTTCTCCGTTCGTCCTTTAATTACTGTAGAGTCTCCGATGAACCACTGCACAGGCTTCGAGTTCGTCTTCGAAGGCCGAGTCTTTTCAGATTCTCATCCCACGAATGCTTCAGAGTAGAAAGACTCGGTGGATGCCCCCTGTTCTTAATTGCAAAGTATAGCCAACGGCGACAAAAATCCAGCCCTATTAACAGGTTCTCTGGGACGAGTATATGCTCTCGTTCGAGATATACAGAGTAGAATAGGTAGAAAAAGAAAAGAGTATGTGCAAAAGAAAATCAACCCGAGCGAGGCTATGACAATAGCTGGGACGCTGATCCGAGTTGAACCAGTTGGTGAGGTGGGAGCCGACATGGAGTGCTTCCCCTTCTGCTCCTTCACATCTGAGCAGCGATAACAAGTCTTCGTTGATCGAAGAGAGGCTGTGAATGGAAGAGCAAATTTTGGGTGAGGAAACGAAGGAGCGAAGAGTGAGTTCTAGTAAGCTTGCCTGACTCTTCTGACCTTCCATTGCTGAGGGTATGGATCCAAGAGAGGGTTCAGATCTTACCAACTAGGCTTTCTGTAACGAGATATTCTCGTAACTATGACTGCTCCCGTTGCTGCCGGCAACATCTCGCGCGGCGCACGAGAAGCAGAGACAGTGAAGTTGGGAGGAGCAGCAAGCGAAGTGGCATCATCAAAAGAAAGAGAGAAAGCGGATGAACTGAATTTCTATTTTAGTCCAGGAATTGGCCTTTCGAGGGAGAGAAGTGGGCAATGGCTATATGCCTATAGCTTCCAAATGGGAATGCCGCCGGGATTTAAAAGCAGGAGAAAGGAGAAGAGGGACTTATATTCAATCTGAACCGTGGGATGGATATCTGACAAGCGTATATCTTCTAGTGAGTTTATCACCGTACGCACTAAACTAATGGTCCCCTCCTGATCTTGACTTCTTGAAGTACTGTAGCAGGCCGGCACGTGCCTTCGCTAATCGCACTTTTAACTCTCTCTCTTTTTTTTTTTTTGGTGCATTGGCCAACATCCTTTTTCATTAGAATGTTTGAAATTTCTAATCACGCGTTACTTTTCCCACGAGTTAGTGTTAGTTTTATATAAGTGCATATTTTCATTTTTAACTTTTCAATTTTTGTTTCAACATTTCTTTAATTTTTTACAAACATCAATCAATGCAAATTTTTATCACGAAATAATTGCTATTGATTACTGATTGTTATCCATTTTTTAGTGAGCCACCGTGGATTCAAATTCAGATCCTCTACCAGTAGTGCATGAATCATTCCTAAAAATTTAAATCATAATGTATATAATTAAGGGACATCTTATTAAATTATTAGTTATCATCTGAACTTTTTTCGTTCTTTTCAATTTCAATTTTATCTGCACATTTTTTAAACTGTGTGTGACGTATTTTTTATTGTTTAAATATTTTTGTGTATTTTGACTCAAATTTAATATTAAAAAATGGGGTGTTAGTCTTCAAACTTTTTTTAAATTACTATCAGTTATCATGAATCATGTTGGGGGAAGAGAGTATCCTTGGCATTGAAATCATTAACTTGCATTCTCCTAATTATATGAAACACTATCACCATTTTAAATTATCAGATATTTTTTAAAAAAGATTTAGCATCTCAAAATATAAGATACTTTGACAAAAAAAATTTTATTAATATACTTTTTTAATATTACCCTTACTATATAGTTTTTAATATTTTTTATTAATAGAGTATAAATGAAGACATTTTTTAAAAATTTATATTTTTACTTTAAAAAGTAAAATTATAAAATGTATTTAATGAGCTTTATTAGTATGTGAATTTTATATAAAAATATTATAATTAAAAATAGAGGTAGCTAATAATATATATTCACCTCAAAGATTCAAAGCGAGTTAGCTACGGCAATGATTAATTTTAAATTAGAGCTAATTGATAAATACATTTTGCTCTTGCTAGTTCATTAGCAGGCTTGCACTGGTGACTCGATGAAGGAGAGGTAATCAAATAAAAAGGCACCACCCCTGAAAAGACAAAGTTAGAATCGAACTTGTATTGAGTAGGCCCATGCAGGATGCCTATAAGCTTAAGATACTCGACC